AATCAATAACTTTTAGGTATTTGTTGAGTGTAATAGTGTTTTTCGTCAAACTTGTGTATCATAATGACGCACAACCTGAATCATAACCTGTTACAATACTATGTTCAGGTTGTGCGCAATCTTGGTGCACAAACTACGGAAGCACCAAATTTACCAGGAAAGAAAATCAATAACTTTTAGGTATTTGTTGAACCCAGCTTTGGGTCCCGGCCCATATACAGTATATGGAAATACTGTCCAAATATACGCGTAAAATAAAGTACTATTAGAGTACGCGTAAATAGAGTACTATTTCAAAATATCCGCTTTTGTTGCAATTAACAATACAAGACTGCTAATGCAGTCGCCAGTGGTTCAAGTGGATATCCACCCGGTGGAGAACAGTCAATTATTTGTTAGCGAGAATTGTTATGCAGCGGGATGATCACGACGACGCCGTGAAAGATAATGATATCACAGAACAAGAATGAGAAAATTGCTACATTTTATAGTATATCCATGGGAGAGCATGTAGTTCATTCTTATGTTCCATGCCAATGCTTTTTCGAACTACCAAAGACTCTCAACACTCTTGCTTCTTCTCTTCTATAAAAATACATTGTTATTATATATTCGCATTTCCATCTGTTTGTTCGTGCTCCCAGATAACCGATCAGCGGCCACCACGGAGGACGGGGTCCCCTTTTAAGAAACCCTGTCATAAACTAAAAGAGGCGACCGTGCTTCTCTTGCCTGTTGTCATGCTGTCCCTGGAATTCAGCTACAACAAAAAATTCACGAAAACGGATTTTTAAATTTTATGATTTTATTAATATTCTCAACAATAAATGATATACGGGTGGTAAAATGCCAAGTTATTCCAACAACATGATCATGTTTTGCAATTTACAACCAATAATATGTATGTAACTTTGTTTGACAGAGTCCCAAGAGCTCTAACTACAAATATCAAAAATGTGAGGCCAAAAAAGTCACACTACAACATTGTCAAATGTGCTGTATTTAGATTACAGGTTTACAAAAAAGAATTACATGAAAAATGGTAAATTAAAGATCAATTCAGCAATATTTACTTTGTGATATGCATCTGGATTTTTAAATTTTATGATTTTATTAATATTCTCAACAATAAATGATATACGGGTGGTAAAATGCCAAGTTATTCCAACAACAACATGATCATGTTTTGCAATTTACAACCAATATTATGTATGTAACTTTGTTTGACAGAGTCCCAAAAGCTCTAACTACAAATATCAAAAATGTGAGGCCAAAAAAGTCACACTACAACATTGTCAAGTGTGCTGTATTTAGATAACAGATTTACCAAAAAGAATTACATGAAAAATGGTAAAATAAAGATCAATTCAGCAATATCTACTTGGTGATATGCATCTGTTGATGATTTTATGTGTTTGTTTCGGAAGTTTAATAACAGAATTAATTGTGGTTGTTGGAGATGTTTTAAAAAAAGGTTGCATGGAAAAAAAGTTTTCACAAAATGTCAAGGTTTATATAGTAGTAGAGAAGTAAAAAAAATACTCCCATGTTTTTTGTTTCTTTTCGTTTGATAACCACGCCACAGAACTTCTCCGATAAGTATACGCAGCAATTGCGAGAGGCAGGAATGCAAGAAAGGATTTCATCGCATTGCAAACCAATATTAGCAATTCTTATATATATTTGCGCATTCCCATCTGAACAGCGTGGAAAGGATTATACCTATCTACACACTTTAAGAACTATGTCAGATGAGCGTCATATTATCGAATATCAGTAAAGGAATAGTGCAATGGGAAAAGACGTATAAGGCGGGACGTTCAGTATAGTATGCAATCAAATAATCTTATTGTAGAATATATATTTAAAAACATTTCGTCACGCCAACTGCAGTCCGAAACTTTTTGTCTCTGGCTGAGCTTAGATACCAATTGGCACTCATGTAAACTGGTAAGACTGTAAGAGGCACGCGATGGAGCAGATACTAGGAGTATCCATCCCCCAGCTGTCATTTGAGTGGGTACTGCTGTTTTTATTGCAGATGTTACTGATCTTTTCGTATTAAAGATTTACTGGCATCACCGAAATAAGCATGTTGAAAACCAACACGCAATATTACAAAACTTACTTTCAACACGCGGTTTAAATGAAAGAAAAAGCTGAAACTAGTATTCTTTAGAACAGCATACAATTCTATGGAATGAAATCATACACAAAAGCTCGTCAGAAACCTATAGCTCAATAATCAAGTGGAATTTGATGCATGTGCGCAAAAATGTGCGCGTTAGTACGTACAACCGAAGCACGCAGGAAAATGTGTGTGATGTACTAGCATTCAAAATGTTTGACTAAACTATGTTGGCATAACAGGTGCACATCTCGGTTTCGCATACGCATACCTTCTATCTCCACAAGGATATATTAGTTTTGCCAAAGTCGATGCAGCACTGAAAGGTTGCGGTTCTTCCAAAAGAAAACACGTTACACATCGTTAAATACCAGTGGATGGTTTTGCATGGCTTTGTTCGGAGTGAAAGACGAGGTCAAATATTTCAATTCAATTCAACTAATAAAATATTTCCAAGTCCCTAAGCTTAAACTAGGAAAACAAAATGCGCGCGGCAACGCAAATGTAGTTTGAAGGGCGCAATAGAAAGTGGCTAGATGCTGTCGATGGATCTTGGCTTGTATTAGTGAAATAAACTACCATTTATTCTACTAATATTGAATTTCTGACATTGTAAGGAGATTCAATGTTACTATGTATGCAAAACTAAACCCTGTAGTTATAAAATAATTGTTTTTAACAAAAAGTCGCTCCTGAAGTATTTGTACCAAGATGACACGCAACCTGAACATTGTATGTTTACCAGGTTAAGGTTCAGGATGTGCGTCATCTTGGTACGAATACTTTGAATCAATTTAAAAAAAATTGCTCAACATTATATACTCCACACCCACCTGGGTGTCATTATATATGTCATCTACATTATATCTAAACAATAAAAAAAACTTTATGTCCCCAAACAAAGTTAAGGCCCGATTCTGCCGGACTACATGTGCATATGTCACAAATTCACCCAATAAAATGTAGGAATAGAAATTTTTATTTAATTATTTGAAAAATAATAAAAAGGTGGGAATTCGGACAGTCAACCTAAATATAGAAAGTAGAAACACCATTTTTTGGATTGGCAATAGAAAATATGACTGGCAGTTCAATCACCAGAGTTGTAAAAGAGTTAAATATCTATGAGGTCATTACTGAAGTTTTTTCTTCTTCTAAGATTTTATAATATTGTAATGAACAAACCATATTACAAAAGCTAGCTTACCCATTTCAATGCAATTTTTCGCGTATATCAACACAATTTTCACAGCGTTAAGTCTATTTAATAGAATGTATTTTAGAGCTGTAAATAAAAATATTCTCCATTAAAAGCATTCGTTACGATGGTCAAATTATTCATTAGAAACGCATTATAACTTTGTACCATGTTTAAAAAGTGTTAAATTGCGATACAAGCCAATAGATTCTCACGTACGAGGTGCGGCTAAAAAGAAACGGGACTGACGTCACAGATTGCGCAACACGATTAACCATCGGTAATCAACACTTTTGCAGTGTGGCGTAATATGTGTTCTTTGTTTAACAGCTGTTTTGACACAATATCGCAATTATTTTTGCTTTTTAGGATCCATAAGTGAATGTGATAAATTTCTTGTTGAAAAAAAAAATGCTGTGCGAGGTCTGATTGAGTTTTTTTGGCGATAGGAGGTTCAATTGCAGAATGACGATTGAGCAAAGAATTAACATTAAATTTTGTGTCAAACTGAAATCTTTTGTTTTAGGTATTATTTAAAACATTTGTTGAATAAAAGAAGACACTAATCTCTCAACCGGGAAAATCCCTTTTCGGGGCTCCAGGTGTGAGTACGTGAACACTGGCAACCGCTGTTCCAACCATACTCCTGTCTGTTTCCAATATGTATGCGACTTTAATTACTTTGTATTGTTCTTAAATGTCACATATTAGACACGAAATGTACATATGGATCATTTTGTTGTTGTTTTTATTCTTGTTGGTATTTTTCTTTTTATCGTTGTAAAAAAACGCTACTGATGTACGAATTGCTTTTCCGTGTCTTATGATTATATTTTTCATATCCGAGTATTACATTTACTTATTCTAAAAAAATGTTTGTGGGCTCTATGTGATTCGATTTTTGTGTGTAATGGAGAAATCAAAAATTTCTCACCTTGTGGCGGTTCCGCTATCGCGTTAGTCGTAAACACTGCTATGTCTATAAGTTTGCGGATCGCTCTCTTGTTCCAAATGTTATCTAATTTCGGATGGTATTTAAATTGTATCACAGTAGTACACACCAGTTCATTTCCGATTGTAACACACGTGACTGTCGATTGCTAGGCTTCTGATTCGGGGCTTTTTTATATCACACCCAAGCCATCATAAATCCGATTTAGGTAAAACGTACACCAACCAACCCCATGTTGACAAAAATTTTGAATAGTAACATTTCAATAAATAATGATTACGAGATGTATGTTAAATTTACAGTAATGTTGAAAGTACGTCAACATGACATATTAGCCCATGTGACGCTATAGCTGTTGGGTCAATCAATTCCACGTTCTTTGGTTCTCGAAATAATACATCAACTGAAAAATATTTTTGTTATGCCAGGCGACATATATCTTGCGACATTAGAAAAATATTTTCAAGCTGACATGTTTTGTCGAGTAAGTCACACATAGTATTGTAAGTATTGCCTAAAAATGGATTGAGCAATTAGATTATTTGAACGGAAATTAACTTCAAACGTGGTGGGTTTGCCATTTTTTTTTTCAAATGTGTGGGTGGTAAATTGCTTCAGCCACTTCCTCGTTTATAGAATGCGTTACGTATTCAATGCATTTGGTATGTTGTTCAATCTATATAGTATATACTTTACTGGTAATGATTCAGGTGAAAGGAAAGTGAGGTTGAGATGCCGTCTATTTTGCTGATACTATTTACAGGTATGTGGTAAGAACATAACGTTTAAGGTTACTAATCTGCGGAGGATTTCCTTTCACTGGCGTCGACTGTAAAAATGCTGTAGTTGCGATTTAGACTAAGATTTATAATTTTTGTTTGGGTTGGATTGGGCGTTTGTATTGAATCAGCTTACATAGATCTGATCTTAGCGATAATCTTAGCATGTGTGATATTAAATGAAGCAGCCTACTTTACAATTTCCTTATTAGAAGATATTGGTGAGATTAATGAAATACATCGTTCTATATACATCATTCTATATTGAAGTTATCCTTTAAAAACTCTCGGGACTTATAGAAGCTTGAGAAATCTTGAAATATGAATTTAAACGATTTATTACAAAAATCGAATAATTTACATTTAAAATTTGGTTTTCAAAGCTTACGCATTTTTAAGTTTGTCTGGAAAAAACCGCAGTCAATCGACTATATACCAATGAGAATTTTATTAACAGTCAACTAACAAGCGCTTTGTGATATATATAATATATACCGTATTTGCTCGTTTTGTAGCCCGGGCCCATATTTTTTTCAACCAACTCACTAACCGGGCCCTTATTCAAGCACGGGCGCTCGTTATTTTCGATCAATAATTAATATATTGTATTTATGTTTATATTGTATTTATATTTCCAGTTCTCAAGTATGATTTAAACGAGAATAACGAACATTTTGACTAGTTTCACGCACCGCAGGTACAAATCCGCAAAAAAAGAAAAGTTTTGCCTTGCCCACTTTGAGAACCATGGTGTTACGTAATCAGGCGCGCAGCCAGGACTTTCAAAAGGGAGGGGTTTCAAAATCGAAAATTCCAATTACCGTGTGTAACAGCCACGGCGATTACGTACTCGTTAAAAGAGCGTTAAGAGTTTTAAGCGTATAATGATTTTTCTGTTGCTTAAATTATTCAATCCATGACAACTACAAAATTCTAAAATGTCCCTATATATTGATTTAATTGTGTCCAACGTAACTAGCGGTTGCGACTTGTTACGTCAAAATAAAAACATTATTTCTCTAAAATGCCACGGCGATCTGTGGACTTAAAAATATGAGATAAGCTGCCTGATGTATTTAATTTTAATAGTATTTTTGCAATCTTGCGAACTTGTTATAGCCGATAGAAAAATCTTAAAATCAGTTATAAAATCCGTATAGTACAATTTTACTTTATGCAATGAAAATACATTTAAAGTAGGTTATATCAGTAAATCAAAAATACATATTTACCCGTCTTCACGGCCTCGATATCCACGTCAAACAGTGGGCGCGGTAACACCACTTGTTAAAAGAGCCGACTTTTTCAACGAAAAATGAATTTTCTGTTGTGCAAAGTAATCAATTCATGGGCATATTTAAAATGTCTTGCTTTATTAATTTAATTGTCACCAATTTAAACTGTGGTTGCGTCGATAAAACAAGAGCCACTAAAAAACACCACGACATTCCGCAGACATAAAAATGTGTGGTAAACTGCCCGATTATATATTGTTTTGATCCGTATTTTTGCTTTTTTGCAAATTCCACAAATTTGAGATGTACTTGTAACACTGACTCCTCTCAATCGCAATGCTGCCACTCCGATTATTTTTAGGGAGAAAACGTTCTGAAAAATCCGTAATTCTGCTTTAATTAAAATCTCAGGGATAAATTTTATTTTAGTACAATAAATTTTGTTCGAATGTACTTCATAGATTAATTATCTTATACATCATCTCAAACCGGGAAAAGTCGCGTTCTCAACCTTGTTTAATGTTAACACGTACATTTTCGACGGCAATTTTAGTAAAAGTGATGGATAACAAGGTGCCGCAGGCAGACGAAATTTTGCGATTTTCAATGCCAAGAAAAGCGTTTTTAGACTGTCGCGGGCCTCAACAACACCTGTTTACGGTTTTATTTTGAGTAATTTTTATTTCCGCTTTTCGATCAAACAATTTAGGTCGTGGACTTATTCAATAATTTGTCTTTAGAATCTCGCCGCCGATGGACTATAATAAATCTCACCGGATGCACAATTCCGCGCGAGTAACAAAATAAAATAATTGTCATCGTTATCGTGGTACAAATTTGTGGAAAATTTGTGATTTAGAGACAATAAACGTCAACGTAAAGGCGTTTACGGCCTAAATAACACGTCACAACGATGAAAACATTCGGCGATTTTAGCAAAAGGCATTCGTACGCGTTATCGGCGACTTTTTCAATTTTCTAAAAAAATTAAAAATTCAACAGCGTTGTGACAAAAGCGCTTCTTACTTCCTATTGTTCTCTACCACTGAAAAATCAGCTTTTACATCGGGTGGATATTCAAGCTCCGGCCCTTATTTATTTTTATGTTCTGATCACACGGGCGGCTATTCAAACGGGCTCTTAATCAAGATCGGGCGGTAAAACGATGTTTTACGATTGTGTGCACCAATTGAAAGAGTACAATTATTTTAGCATTGAAAAGTCGTCCAAATATAATTTAGGATAATGAGTGGGAACTACTGAAGGTAAACTCTACCTTGCTTAGCTATAACTGCTTTTAAACTAAAATGTTTTGAACACATTTATTTCAGGATGGTGTCTATTGGCAAGTGGCTTGGAGATCATTGATCTGGATATCTGCAGCGTATCAACTATCACATTTGATCACAGCAATGTTCTCCACTACAAATGGAATTTGAAGACGACAAACTGTTCATCCACTCATGGAGATGTTTTGCTTCTAATTTTAACAGAAAATCAGCTGAAACCACAGTCAACATGCCGGGGAAGTTTAATTATATTAGGTTAAATAATTTGTTCATGTAAATGTTTATAATAATTAAATAAAAATAACATTTTTAAAACGCTGAATCTAACAATATCGCCGGATACTTTTTACAATTCAATGTTACTCTAAATATGGATATGGAATTATATTCTTATCCATATTCCCCGTGCCTAACACATAGTGGAATTCATTAGAAAACCTGTACGATGAACCACAAAAATTACTCTCTTTCCTAATATTATAGAAGAGCCTACTGTTGCTTGTTAGGAGATTTGTTTGGAGTGATAAATGCAACAGGGTGGTGAGGTGATTGAAAACTTAAACTCTTATATTTGCAGGATTCCAAGAAGATATTTGTAATTATTCCCCGGGCGATTGCTTCCTCATCAGCTCACGCGATTCGAAACCTATTTACGGTTCAATAACAAATGGCTGCAGGCGGACTATGTGGTCAGTGAGATCATCAGACGCGCCACCTTCTGGCATCATTTACAAGACGAACCCCACTTGGTCTTCACTTCCTCAAAAATTTACCATAAGCATCATTAATATATCGCAGCAGAGTTTCACGGGTATGTACGACAGCCTTCTCTTTTTAACTGAATTATAGTCGTTTTGATCAAAATTTTTACATATTTGAGAGAGAACGGAACATTCATTTTCGTTTATATATCATACCGTTAGGTGGTAGTCGATGAAAATTCAAAGCAAAGGTTATGAGACGGTCTCTATCCAAACTTTGTAGTCTTGTTTTTGGGACATATAATCCAAAAAAGAAACAGCAGAGAATCAGAAATACTGCAAACATCTTGTAATGTTGTAATTATTACAATCTAGTTCGAACCTGTGTATTTTGAGCAACACGTGTAGACCAAAACTAACTTTGTTTTTTCACTCTTTCTGAAGGCGTAGAAATATAAAATATTAAATTAAATTTACTACTTCTTGGCAATTATTTTTTTATTTAAGTGGAAATTTTGTACAAGATTTTATTTGCCCAAGAAAGTAATTCGAAAAATGGTTGGTGAATATGAAGTTACTAAAATACTTCACGATCTTTTGGAGTGCAATTGCTAAAATTCGATTCACACCCGTCGCCCTGGGATCATTTTCTCGCGCATGTTTTCTCTCATAACGAGGTCTCAAGTACTTAACCAAAAGGGAAATAGTCCTGATTGAAGACATGAAAATAACCACATGCGCTGGGACTACAACAGAGTTTTGTGTTAAAATCACAAATTTTTCTTTCAATAAACTGCTTTCTTTAATGTTCAAGATGATGGAGATCGTTCCACTCAGACTAGTAGTATAACAAACCCGACCAAGACCTCGACTAACACGGCCGCAATTGCATTAGGAACAGCTTTTGGAATCGTCAGCATCGCCTTGATTGTAGTACTTCTGAAGTAAGTGAGATTATTGGTATAGATATTGGTATTTTCTGATCTTATTATTTATATTTATTCTATAAATCTAACGTAGTATGAATAAAATAAATAAATATAATAAAATTTAGTTCGAAGTTTAAGCACATGATGTTCCATTGTCCGGGTATGATGTTAGCTGATCAAGTATACATTTCATCTATAATACAGATTAATAAATTCAGATCGCATTCAATAAATTACACTACGACGACAATTTCTTTTACATAGAATCATCCTTATAACCAAATTCGAATTTAATAAACAATGGCGATGAGCTTTCAAATGGGAATTTGTTTACTTAAATAGACTCCAAACGGAAGTATTCTTACAAATATCAATAATACTTATGTTTGTATTTCAATCTATTTCTGATTTGAACATTTATCTGAAGAGTTTTAAATGACTTCATTGTGTATGGATCTAAACGCTCAATCACTTTAAGATATTGCAAAATGAAGCAACAAGCACGCGAGTGTCGCACGCCACACGATGGCACTAGAAATCAGGAAGTGAATGATGCCGTCTACAGCGTCATCGAGAAGGGCAATAATAATGACCAAGCGGAACGAGAGATTGTAGAGAACCAATTATACAACATGTAGAAGTTTATAATTTGATTTTTCCCATACAACCCTTTTTTGTTGAGTTCCACCATTCGCCCGTTCTGATATTTTCATTGTTCACCATGCATAAAACCTGCTTCAGTTATTAAATGTTTATTGGAACTTTAGGTTGTGCCATGCAAAAATTGCACTCTATCTTCAGAACAGTTTAAGTAGTAATATGTGTTATATATATCATATATAAATAAGTATTGTAGTTATAATAAAGAACTAAAAAATGTTCGTAACATTACAGCATATACAAACCAAAATGCCCCGAAACACGACCTAAAAAATTTCTCTCCGTTCGGTGACGTCGTACCACTAAATCTACTACATCTTTAAAGACTGCTATCGCTTTCATTTGTGGAGTTGTCCTATTGAGCTCACCCTTTTATACAGGATCGTTTGGACGCTGACAGTAAAGCACAGTACTAGATATCTGTTTTGTGATTTCATTTAAGTTGTTGTTGTTGCTTTTAATATTGACTGCTATAAACTCTTAGCTCAGGAGTGTGCAATATTTTTTGTCGTTGGGCCATATAAAACACCTTATCAGACATCTAACTAGGCTAAACAGAAAAAAAATTAGTTTTCAACGAACACAACAAATTGCAGTTATGATGGCACCGGGCAAAATGACGAATAATTTAACCCAGCGACAAGAACAAAAATAAACATTATGTATTTTTATCCATACAAGTGTCTTTTTAAACATAAACTGACAGATTATAATTTTGTGCTTGATGGGAAAAAATCTGCATTTTTACAAGGGCCACACCAAATGGCTTGGCGGCCCGGATGTGGCCCGCGGGCCGCCTCTTGCACACCCCTGACTTAGCATGTTCGAATAATTATTTTTGATCGATTTTGTTATTTTAGCATTCAAGTATGCGATGATGTTGTTTTAATATATCTATTGGTGAAAACTTGATGCATCATTTGTATTTATTCTGAAACATTTCTGTTTTACCATGAGCCTTACGAAAAGAAAAAAAATTAGTACGCGGGAAATTTTGACGGCATGTTTTGTTAGAAAACTGCCATTATTTATAGTTCCAGACTCAATTTGAAGCATAAAATCAGACAAATTGGCGAAGAACTTTCCATATCCGCTTTTGGATGATAGAGAGATATTAACTAAAGTTATATCGGGCTAGGAAGAGTTTCACATTTTTTTCCTGGAAGAGAAAAAATGATAATAGAATCAAATTTGTAGACCACCGATTCTGGCCCAGTGAGCAATTCAAGTCCATTGTTTATATAAATTACACCGCGACGACAATGACCCCGGAAGTCTTCATGATAAATACAGGAAGTTATACATTGTAGTGTTTCTTTGAAATTCTATACACATAGTCCAAACAAGATTTAATGAGGATGTTATTCACGCTTAATACTAAATAGTTGTGGTGCATCAATTGCTTTCTCTCTTGAAAAATTAAAACTACATTCGGCTCTTTATTATTCGCGGCGGAAAACTAAAAAAAAGGTATGGAAATTGGGATACTAGCATTTACAAGTTCAAGGATCAAATCACATTGGGAGCACCCACAGAATTAGCTGTTAGTTGTACAGTTAACCACAGCAGCAAATTTTAAACTTTGGATCCCAAGTAAGTTGAGTCAGCACCTCTGCTTCGAGTCATAAGTCAAGATGAAGACAGGTTCAAGTTCATTATGTTAGTTGTACAAAGAAACCAGTTGACATTGATATCAAATACTTTCAACGCCGTTTTCCGTTCTGATCTTTTCATTTATACCCATGTTGGATAGAATAAGGTCGTACGTTTATTATACAAAATCAACAGATGAATGATAAAATCTGACGCAGAGCATCGTAGTTATCATATTTCCCGATGTATGTCTAAATATATATAATTGTCTAGCACTAAGCGCATATGATATTTTGAATATAGCACTATTGAGGAAGCGATATGATGCGAAATTCACACCCACTGTATTCATGTGTTATAATGAGCTATGATGCGGTGGAAACAATGCACACTCATTACAACCAACGCTTCATTTTGAATCACGCCACTGGCTACGAATCATACAGTAATACGTCCATTGCGGAACAGAAAAACTCCGCAAGTTATCAAAACAATACGTGGGTGACTAACTTAAGTCGGTTAAAGTTATAATAATTATATTGCAGCCAATTACTTGGCATTCTGGCTTTTGTTTGCAACGAGCTCACGTCTATTAAAGCGGCGAAACACGCTTTCATCCGTGGGAAAACTATTATCGCATAAACAAGGTTGAAATATGGCTGATGGTATTGAAATAGCTTTGACGACAGCTAGAATAACCTTTGGATTATCCGCCGTGGGTGTCGGTGCTACTGCAATTGGAGTCGGGCTTAGTACAGCATTGATTCTGGCAGGTGCTGGCGCAGGTGCTTATGCTTTGTATAGAGTCTTCAATAGACAGCGCCAAGGATGATAGAACTAAAAGCGAAGTAAGTGCTTTTCGATTTATTGTATTCCGCCACCAACCTGCTTAGCATCCGGGGATACACACAGATGACCCACGAATTAAAAAAAGGGTTGCGCATTGTTGTGACAGAAGATGGCAAATGAGGGCCTATTTTTTCCAAAATGGGCGGTGATATTTATATCACATTGCGATCTTTACAAGTAAATCGACGTTTTTTTTTCCAAATTTGTCATCTTCGAGAAATTTACCATACTGATATAAAATAAGTTGCAGCATTTCAGCGCTCCGTTTCTTTGTTATCCAAGATTTCCCTTGCTCCGTTACGCTCCCAAATTGTGCGCTCACAATTTTTTCGTAAAATCTTGATTAATAATAATACATGGTGCCGTGTCATAACTTTGAATATTTCAATTTTTCATACAGGATGAAACCGGATCATATATATCGTGAATGGCAATATTTGTTACTTTTGATTTTAACATCCAGAACAGCCGGATTGTATTCGTCAGACTGAAACCAAATATGAATATATTTGCCTCTTAAAACAATGTATTTTTATGTATTTATATGTATATTGTATATTTAGTTGTTTTTCTCATATCGACATAGATTGCCTAGTCCAGTGATTCACAATAAATTTCGATATATTTCTTCTTTTGTCTATTCTGAATTTCTTCATTCCTCCCTCACTATGCATGAAAACTATGTTTCCGCTATTTATCCAATCTTCGAAGATCGTTATTTAGTGTTACTCGCAACTGTGGATTTTGTATGGTTTGAAGTAGTTGATCTGTGCACATAAGTATGCATTACGATAATACTAAATACACTACACCGAATACAAAGTAATATTTCTGTATTTCTTCTCCAAAATCCGCCTTGGGGACTAATGGATCACCAGTCGGGAAAAAGTCAATATTCACATAATAATAGGAGAATAAAAATTATGTCGTGACAGGATATTATTTAAAACAGAAAATAATGTTATTGTATTTTTTTGTATTGCATATATTTAATTATTCGACTTGTATTTAGATAGATGACCTTGTCACTGACTACCTCATGACAAGAGAATGAAAACTATTTCGAAGTATAATATTACATATATATGTAATATTTAATGCTTTATTCATTTCTATATTGAAGATATTACATTTATTTTGAAATTGAAATCAAGCGATTATAAACTAAATAAAATCATTTGATGCAAAGCATTTTTAGCAATTAAAGTACCTCTGGTCTGCTTTAATATAGAAACCCACCCAGGACTAAGCGTATACGATATTTTGTATATAGCACAATAGAGGAAGCGCTATGACGCCAAATTCATACCTACCGTATTCACGAGCTGTGACGCATTGAAAATCACTCATGCTCATGACAGCTAATGTTTAATGACTTTCAATAAATACCCGACCGCCGTATTATGGACCTAATTTCAGTTTATGTGTAAAGCTGGCAAACTACAAATTCTTTGGATCAAAAGTTATGTCGATCATAAAACTTGACACGATTATTGATTAGTGGATATTTCAAATTATCTTCGAAATGCGTTTGGTTTTCTACATATTTGGAATAAGGCGACTTCTTAATAATCAAGTGAGCAACATTCCAAACAGCGACTGTCATTATGGCGACCTTGTTAAAACAGCGACTGTTATGATAGCGACTTTTACCTCGTGTTCACTAAGTTGAATTCACTGAGTCGAATTTCCTGGTCGGTCGTTGAAAGGTAACGCTATGTCGTGTCACATTAATTTTAAGGTCGTTTGAAAGTTTGCCACGATAGATTTCATAACGTCAAGGAAAGGAAGTGACATGAAAGAGTGCGTGTGCGCGTGAGCCTTGGATTTAATAAAGGAATTGATGTCGCTGTTGTGGCAGTCGCTGTTTTAAACGAATCGCTGTCGTGTCGTCGCTCTGTTGACGGTCGCTGTTTTAATTCAATCGCTGTCGTGTAGTCGCTCTATTGACAGTCGCTATTTACAACCCGAGCCGTGGATCAATGAGTTCCGATTGCCTTTTGATCTGATACTTTTTGTAAAAAGCGAGCGTTCATATGTAGGGGTATTACACAAACAATTTGCTTATTGAATATTACTGATTTCATTTTTCAATATTCAAGAAAAATTGCTGAATATTTTTAACAACAACACACAATGTTTGTCTGGTTTTCTTTCCTTCGTATTATTTTAATGCGCACATTACTAAAAAATTTTGATTTCTTAAATCCTAATTCTCTCTAACGAACGTTCTAGCATAATTGCACTTGTGTAAACGCTAGTTTTCACAATATTGAATTGGCTCAAAAATCTTAAAAAAAATTTTCAAAAATAAAATTTGGAAAATACTGTTGTCGCCAAAAGAAAACAGAAATGTTAAGAAAGGAGGCACAGCAAAAGAAAAGAACCCGGAATTTACTCTCCTACATCAATTAAATCACGAATATACCGAACATCTGATAAAATGTGAATTAGATACGTTAACATGTGCGCCGTACCAAAGTTAATTAGTTCGTCGTATTGACAGGAATAGAGGTAAAAGAAATTGGATTGGATTCTCACATCTGATGAACAATTAAGGAGGCGTGCGTAATATACACATGAGTGATTATGCTATTACTAGTTGGGTTTGGTTATTATTGTTAGGCTAGGTCGACTAAAGTGGTTTGGTGAATATTTTTGTTATTATTATTTTTTCGAGGGGGGGGATGTATGATCAGAGCCTCATTTATTAGACCGAAATTTCTCCGGATCCATCTCGATGTTTTCCAACAGAAACTTTAATATGATATTGTTTGATTGCCTATACGTGTCGGATAGGAGAGAATAAAGCGGAAAGATCCAGAACAGTAGTTTCGGCAATTGTCATTTGTGCAAAATATAAATATCACATAATCTAAAATATTATACGTGTTATCAAATCGAGTGCTTATCAATGGAATCGGGGCTTTTGATACTACGATACAATACAATATACAGAATACTGAATATGCAAATCCTTCAAAAGTGTTAAGGGGTATTTTTACAATATGTATATTAAATTATCTAAATTATAATAAAATAAATAAATAAAATCTAAATAATTAGATTTTGCAAGTAATGAAACAATGTTTACTTTTTCATTCCCGATATGTCCCAACTAATTGAAGGAACCGCATTTATATTGTGCAAACTTAATATGTCAGGTTTGGTGAAATAATAGTTTTTAATTTTAAAATGAAGTAAATATATGTCAAAATCAATTTTTTTTTAGATCAATTTGAGAATTTGTGTCGGATGCTCTTTCTGCGCAATTGCGTTAAAAGCTTTGAGTGTGATGATTTATTTCATGAACGAATCGATCACGATTGATCACATCACAAATACTAATGTGATATATGCG